GATAGGAATAGCGAAAGTTAAATACCACCAGAAAAGAAAAAAAAAAAAAAAAAAGGATGTGCAAAACCCAACCCCCAAACCTCTAAGAGAAACCAGTAAAAAGTAAGAAACATGAAAGTTTTCAAGTGAGAAAAAAGGTGGGAATTTTTCCTGGGAACATAACCTACTAACTTGTCTGCTGATCCCTTTAGGGGGCAGAAAAGCTGAATTCCCAAATCAAGACCAGCCTAAGTCAGAGAGAAGAGTGCTGCTGGATGTGCCTCCCATCCAACAAAATCCTGATACCATCCTGTTCATGGGATATAGGATGAGAAGACAAGGATTAAAACTGGGGTGAACCATACCCTGAGAGAAATCAGTATCAAATTTATTCACTCCAGCTCCAGGGAATGTATAACCCAATTGATCCTTTCCTCCTCTAATTCTTTCTGCTGTTCCACATGTTGGCCAAAACACCACCACACATCTGGATGGAACACTCGGTGAGAAAAGCAGCTGTTTGAGAGAAATATTGTAGGAACTCTTTTGGGGTCTTCAGTGAGTCCTGCAGCACATGCAGAGACACCCCAGCAGTGCCATGTTTGTGTTGGTGTGGGTTAATCCACAAATCCCCAAGGAAGGTCTGTTGTGGGTTACGCTGGATCCTCATAAATGTCTCCAGAGTTAACCAGCAAGTAACCACACCAAGCAAATTTACTTTGCTTTTAATTGTGGCTGCTTTCCCTGCCCTCTGTGAGAATTGCTTTCTTCTCTTCCACCTGCCAGAGTGCATCTGTGGCTGTGCAGTGCTCACAGGCTAACAGAAATCACAAGATTTTGTGTTTAGATCATGTGTGCTGCCATCTATATGATTTCTGCTAAACTTTCCCAATTTACCAAAAAAAGTGGGAATTGCCATGTTGGTTGAGAAAACAAGAGTCCATCCAGCTGAGTGACCACAGCTGGACACTCAGATAATCATGTGCAGGCATGGGGGACACTTCTCCCTCCTATTTTCCCTGTTTCCAACCATTTTCTGCTCAGGGGCTTTCCTGAGCTTCTACATGTCACAGCATCCACATCAGTGGCCAAACCCTCAGGCAATTTATGTGCTGCAAAACCTCTGGCTACTACCAGGGATATAAATCAAGCAGAATTAGAGTCATTGACAATAATTGGAAAAAAAAAAATCTGTGATTTGGAAGACATATATGAGTTTTGATCTTAATTTGGACTAAATCTCCCAGGAACATAAATTATCTGTTTGGCTGTCTCTGTTTCCTGCCATCCCTGTGGAATCTCGCTGTGCAATGGCACAGAGCAGTAAAGGATATCCCAAATCCAATTTAAGGTGAACACAAGGGCACTTCCACAGTGGAGAGGGCTGGGATTTTGGAATGAGGAGCTCCTTTCCAGCAGGCACAGGCAGCCAGGGACAAGAATCAGCTGAAGAAAATGCAAAGATGAGCCATGAAATGAGGAGGGAAGGGGCTGGACAAGGAGCAGACAGGGGTACAGAGAAGGCTCTGGAGGAATTCTTCTAGGAGCACTGATAGAAATTTGGGAGTGAGTTTACATGAAAATGAGAAGAAAAAAACATAAGAGTCCTTGGAGAAGAGACACAAAAGTAACAGGTGCTGGGAGAAGCAGCACCTCATCTTTCAGTGTCCTGGCCAAGAAAATCAACCAGGTTCATTAAGGCAAAGAGAAACCCAAGTGTGGTGATCAATACTGGACTCATTGTCCAAAATATCCTCATGAATGCAGACTGATGCCCAGGGGAGCAGCTGTGCTAGGGAACTGTTCCAAACAGTTTGGGACCTTTGGAATAAAGATCCATTTTCCTCAGTATTCCAGGTGATGACATTAAGAATCATAAGAATACTTTTCTGTGATGGTCCAAAGTGCAAATATGTTCATTAAAGAGCTGTATCAGTGAGATCTTATGACATTAATAGGCAAAAAAAAAAAAAAAATGTGATTTTCACCCAATTCCCCAAAAGAAATCTGTACAACATACTTAAAATTATTTTGGATCAAGTAGTACTAGTTGCTGCCACCATTTGAAATTTAAACTTCAAATCCACTGTGCTTCCTTTTTCAGTGCTCTATTAGTGCCCATTGAAAGAAGTTAGCATTTACACAGATCAAATCCAACTTTACAAAAACCTTCCTCAAACGAACATGAGAATGATTCCTCAAAACATAAAAATCCAAGAAAACTTTATTCTAACCATCTTCTTGCCAGGGTACACCCAGTTTTCCAAGCTCCCTCTCCCACTGTGCACAGGTACATTTCAGCAGGAACACAAAGCACATTATCACTTGCTCCAAGGAGCTCTGTAGCCTGCAGGATCTTTGCAGAATCCAGCCCGAAGAAATGCAGCACTTTGAGAAAACAGAGCTGTCAAGCAAGATTTCCTTGGACTTGCTGCCACACAAAATGGCAAACGAGGGACTTGATCCTGCATGGAAGACAATAGGAATTATAGGTGCTCAGCATTTGTCTTCCAGCAGAGTTAAGGCTTCTCAGTAATTCCCCAAATCAACCGTACTGCTTTATACTTATTCAAAATTACATAGCTAAAAGCTTTGGTATGCAGCCACAGAGCTTTTATTTCAAATTGGCAATAATGTAACTTCTGTAAAAAAAAAAAAAAAAAAAGACTACAATAATGTTAAGAATATCATAAAATGTTATTTATATCAGGATTCATTTGTTAGCCCATATGACAATCATTCATATTTCTTGACAGATATAAACCTCCGCTTAACACATTAGTATCATAAATATTACCAGATATAACACTGTAATTTAATACCTACCAAATGTATTTTAAAATATTACTCAATTTAAAACTTTGGATTTTAACCAGATGTGTTTCCAGAAAATGATTCAGGTCAGATGCTTTTTTCTTTTCCCTTTTCTGTGCGCTCGCGTTCAAAGCAGAGCGTTCCTATGTGATTTATTGTGCCACGACTGTGTGCCCCGAACCTAAAACAGCACCACGATACTTCATCCTTGAGGCTTACACACCTGCAGTCCAAACTAACAAGAGAAAACATCTACATGGCACGGCAGGAGCCTTTGAAATGTCTTTTTGCAGTTGCCTGGACACAGAACAGACTGGTAGAACAGGGAGGCAGCGGAGAAAGGGTGAAGACAGGAACTCCAGCCTCTTTCATCTAGAAAGGGGGGACCATGGAGAGATTAGAGGAAAGGATTTTGATTAGATCACTGGAATGTGAAATGATGCTTCCCAGGATTAAAATCCTATTTTAGAGCTACCAAACCGGTTACGGCGTTAGTCAGAACTCGGAGGCTCGCGCAGCTCCATCCCCGGCTGTCGCTCCGAGCACCCCACACCCTGTCCCCAGAGCAGGGGGTACCCCAGCCTGGCACCCCAATCCTCTCCAGCATCATCCCAGCAAGGAGCTGCCCTCCCTTAAAGCATGGCACTTCTGGGGGAGAAGGAGTTTCCTTCTCCAAGGGCATCCCTGTGTCCAGCCCCCGGCAATGGTGGGGAGGCTCTTGGATTTCGGTGTCATTGGGCCCCCAGTTTAGATCACCACGTAGAGGTCTGACATTTTCATAACCAAATGCCATTAGTTTTATTCCCAGCACAGCCAACCAACAATCTGAAGGTCTGGAGTCGCCGGGCTGATCATTACATGGAACCATTAACATAAAACCCGCCATCGCAATTAGTATCTTTGTAAGCAGCAGCCTCAGCAAAAAGTGGAAATGGAGGCTGAAATGATGGTGCTCTTCCAAAGGAGGCCGGCAGCAGATTGGGAAATAATCTGTGGCAATTGCTCTGCCGCTGTCTCTGCTGTCTGTGCCGTAACTTCTCCAAAGACAGGCAGAGCCATTTCCAAGCAGTCAGCCCACGGACTTGAGCGAGCACTAAATTCACTCGGTGATCAAATACAATTTGAGAAAAAATCTACAATCGCTCACTTGGGGGGGAAGAGATATTTTCCTTTTACAGATGAAGTGCAAATCAGCAAAAGTAGCTGTGTTTGGAAAAATACCGTGCAGTTTATTGATTCCAGAGGGGACAGGTACAGACCGTGGGTTTGCCCATTTCCCAGTAAAAACAGGGAATTATTTCGAGGGGTGCAAGGTATTTGCAGGCTGGTTTGTTTTGTTAAGAGATGAGCCTGCTAAAATGTTCTGTGCTTTTCAGGAAGGGAACAAGGAAAATGTTCGTATTTATAGCAACATTATTGTTTAGAACAAAATAAGTTATTCCATCCTTTTAATCTCCGTTTCTATGGCTATCCTGCGCGGGGTTGGGATCTGATTTACCAACCTCACTGCGATCCGCGTCCCCTCGGCAGCGGCCGGCGGCACCGGCCCTGGCAGGGAGCGCCTGTCCGCGCTGAAGAAATCCCGTTCCAGGCGCTCCCGGACCGCCCCGGACACCAGCAACCCGCTGCCCTCGATGCACTTTTTCATTGTTGTTTCCCCTAAACTCTCTGCACTTGGCTAATTTTAGCCCCGCGGCTCCCCGGGCGGGCTCCCCCCGCGCCGCCGCTCCGGGCACCATTGGCCGGGCGATGCGCTGCCGTGAACCCGCACCCCTCCCGCACCGCCGCGCATCCCCCCGGCGCAGCATCCCCGCGTCCCCCCGCGCTGCCCGGCCGTGCTCGTATCCCCGCGGTGCCGTGCCCCCCGCGCCGCTGTCCCCGCGTTCCCCCGCCCCGCGCCGCTGTCCCCGCATCCCCCCGCGCGGCGCGGCCGCGCTCCGCGCGCTTGTCCCCGCACGGCCGCGCGCTGTCCCCGCGTGTCCCGCGCGCCCTCCCCGCGGGTGCGGGGTCGCCGTGAGCGCGCGCCCGCGGCGCCCCCTCCACACACCCCCCCCCACGGGAGCGCGCGGGCTGAGTCCGTGTTCCGGGCGGGCTCCAGGCCGGGATTTGGGCGCTCCCTGCCCGCCTCCCTCCCCCTTGCCCCCCCGCCCCTCCTCCCCCCTCCCGCCGGCTCCCTCCCTCTCTCCCTCCCTCCCTCCCTCCCCCTCCCTCCCGGCTCCTGAACTCCAGCCCCTCTCTCTCTATCAGCCGCTCACTCTGTCTCAATATGTCTCAAGATGGCGGCCAATGTGGGATCGATGTTTCAATATTGGAAGCGCTTTGATTTACAGCAGCTGCAGGTCAGGCTCCCCCGCTCGCCGCACCGGCCGGGCCGCGCCGCCGGACCCCCCCCTCCCTCCCTTCTCCGCCTTCCCTCGGGCCCGGCCTCCCCCTCCTCCTCCCGCTGCCGGCCCGCGCCGCCTAAAGGGAACCCCCCGCTCCGCCCGGCCGCGGCGCTCCGCTCCCTCCGCCCCCCCCGCCATCGATCACCGGCCCCATCGGAAATTGATCCTCTTTGTTCAATTCATCGATCAGCCCAAGATGGCGCCGGAGCCGCCGCTGCCGGGGCTGCCGCCGCTTCGCCCGCTCCGTCCCGGGCTGCTCTTTCCCCGCTCCGCGCTCCCCCTCGGCGGCGGGGCCGTGCGGGGCGGCGGGCGCGGCGGGACTCCCGGCGGCCGCCGCTCATCCCCCGCGCGCCTCCTCCCTCTCCCTCCCCGCCGCCTGCCCCCTTCCCGCCGCCGCGTCCCCGCCGCTTTTCCTCCGCCGGGAGCCGGGGAAAGTTTACCGAGTGCTGGGACTTTGTGTGGGGGCGCCGGGCGGGCTGGCGGTGCAGGCGCGGAGCGGCGGGGGCTGGGGGCGCTGTGGTGCCGGCCGGGCGGGCGGACGCTCCCCGCCGCCGCCGCGGGGTGCCGGCCCTCGCTCCGCTCTGCTCCGCTCCGCTCCGCCGGGCGCGGGGCTCCGGCCGCCGCCCTGCGACCGCCGCGGGCACCGCGCCGGGCCGCCAGGGGAGGGGACGCGGGGACACCGGCAAGGAGGGAGGGAGGGAGCGGCGGAGGGTCCCGCGGGGTGGGTGGGAAGGGGCGAGCGCCCGGTGCGCGGAGAGGGCGGCTCGGGAGGGCAGCGGCAGCGCCGCGCGCGGGGAGGGGCGCGGGGGCGTCCCGGCCGGCGGGGGGCATCGCGGCCGCATCTCCCCGCGGCGGCGGGAGGGCACGTTACATAATTCACGGGCTCTCCAGCCTCTCCTGCTGTCCAGGATCTGACAGATGAGCGGAATATTGATGCTTTACTGTGCTGGCTCGGGAGAGCCCAGAAGTGCCGTTTCCTGCGAGGGAAAGTCCTCGCAGACGGGGCTCCCTCCCCCTGCCCCGGGGGAGCGTCCCCGGGGGAATTGCGGCCCCACGGTTTAATTGAGTTGCCGGGCTACAGATAAGGCCGGGGCGGGCCGGGGGGGTTGTCAGACGCTGTATCGGTGCTGCTCCCGCCGTGAATGGGATTGCAACACGCGTGTCTCCCAGTTGATTGGCGCAGGAAGGCGCTGCCCTGCCTCTCCGAACCCGCCGCTGCCTCCCGTTTAAATAAATTGGCTCGAAAGCCGGCGGCTGCCCACCCTGGCCCCCGCGGAGGCGGCGGTGGAGCCGGCCGGAGGCTGCGGCAGGCGGAGGGATGGTGGTGCGCTGATGCTGGGCAGAGCCGCATTCCCGCTGGAGGTGAGGGGATGGATGCTCGCAGGGGGCCGGCAGCGGGACCCGGGTCCTGCCGCCCTCCCTTCCCCTCGGTCGGGCGTGCGGGAGCGATATCATATATATTTATATATGTAATATTCAAAACTCCCACCCCGGCAGCCCCCGAAAGGGGAAGTGCTGCGTGGGATCTGTGCTGGGAGGCCGGTCCCTTCCGACTTTCAGGTGCATTAGGAGGTGGGGTAAAGTAGCGTTTTGTTTCAGGTTTCTCTGTCGTCTTCCAGCCCCTTTCGCGTTTTATTGTTTCTTTTAAAGGTTTTGGATTAAGGTAGACTTGGCTGAACTTTGCTAACTTGAAAGGGTTCTTAATAGTGACCCGGAATACCTACAGGAATACAGAAAATGAGATCCAGATGTAGAATTGTATAAAATAAAATGGATTAAATTAAGATGTAGTTAAACACGGTCTGACATCTCTAATTGTGGACTTTTGCTTTTGCCTCTGTGTACGTGTGGCTGTACTTGCTTAGCATAGGAAAATAAACGCTCCGAACATTGCTGCCGTGGCGTTACATTTAACGGTGAACAAGTCTAAATATTGCCTATAAAAATAAAGCCTTCAGAAATGCTTATTGATTAAAACATATTATGCTAAAGTATCTATCATGTAAATTAAATTCTAAAATGTAATGAACACAGCCAAATGGCATTTTGATAGATTGTTCTATTCTGTTTTTAGTAAAAAATAGCTCACTTTTATCATAATTTAATTTCTGTGCATACTGTAAAACCTGTTGTGGAGTATCACTGTACAAACCTTAATCTCGTTTTTGCAGACTAAATGTGACAGTCTGACTTGAACAGCTTGTAGCTTCTCCTTTGAAGCATTCTGGTAACGCCAGCTTAGAGTTGTTTGAACAATATTCATTACCTGCTTTTGAGGACTGGTGATTATTTACCCGTGCTGCGGATTGAGGCTGTTCACCTGTTGGCAGGTTCAGCAGGCAGGCTGTGAGCAGCGCAGAGTTTGTTAACTCTGCATGCACTCTGTCTGCAGAGAGCCCTGGAGTGACCGGGGAAGGGAGAGAATGCCTTCCTCCCTATGCAGAATAGTTAATTTGTTTCAAATTAGCTTTTTATTTATTTATTTTTTTACCCACCCATCTGCACCAAGAAGTAGTGTAATATTTACTCCCACTTGCAGATGAAGCAATGTGCTATAAAAACTATCATTTCCAGGGATGAAGTTCAGTCCCACAGAAGTGTCCATGCCTCCCTCTGTCCGCATCCTTCGCTTGCGCTGACGCATTTCGAGCGTGGAATTGTAGAAAATAAAAATACTTCCGTGTACGCTCTGTTCCAGCATGAAAGCCTGGAGGATTTATGCTTAACACAATTCCACCTGAGCCCTGCAGAACTCCAGCTCGGGGTGTGAGGGCTTTGGAGCTCTGTGTGCATGAGAAAGTTGTGAGGAGCTGGGACCGGAGCGCTGGCACCCACCTGCTCCCAACTTCCTCTTCCACCTTCTGTTAGGAGGAGATGTTTAACTGTTGATGAGCTTCGACCTGCCTTGTAATATTAAGCAGCAGGTTTCTCCAGATTGTATCAATATTAATTAAAAACAGAGCCAGGAACACTTTAGGGTCTGACTTTTTAAATTATTTATTTCCTTTCGCTAAATAACCCCTTGTTTATAAGGAAAGATGTTTCAAGTGTTGGAGACAGGATTAAATAATTCAGAACTTGGATTAAAGAACAAAAAGGTCTGTTCACAAATGGAATATGAGATGCAAAAATGGCAGCTTCCTACAGGTATCAAACGGGGTTTTTCACTGGAGACTGTACCTGCGAGGCACGCAGCTGAACATTAACCCTTTTCTGTAGCAAAGGTTGGCATGATCCTAAAGAAACTGGAATGGGCATGGCATTGCTGCCTCAGTGTGCTGTGTGGTGGTAAATTGACCCATGTTTGATGGGGAGGGAGTTGCAGTGCTCAGAGAAAGCGGCCCCTTGCAAATAGTGAGTACTGTGGCAGTAAAAGCAGGTGAAAGCACTGGAGGAATGCGGCTGCCCTCCAGTTAGAGCTGCACGTCCTGTCTGGGAGCAGCTGCGTGATTGGAATCAGATCAGCAGCGTGAAGGTAACCTGCTGTTCCGTGGTCCTGGTTTGTTTGTAGTTTTTGGTGTCCCCATCACCTTCACTCTAAAAACAACCTTTTGCTGGGGAACAGGAAAGGGAGCGTTGTGTTCCCGTGGGCACAGCATGCAGCTCTCCTTGACAGCTTGCTGAATATTTCTGAATATGGGTGTATATATCAGTATCAGAGGAGGCAGCTGGTCTCTCTGACCAGCAGGAGTAAGTCCAGCTTGAGCCACAGCTCTGAGGACAAATGGAAGAAGTTAATACCCTTTGAAAACTTAAACTATCTGTAGTTATTTTGACAATAAACACAAGTTCTCAAAATGTCATTGTAGCTTTTTAGGACAGGCTCACATTCTGGTAAAAACTACAGTTTCTTACTGCTTTTGAGCAGAATGGCAGAACTTGTTACCATCAAGCTGAGGAGTGAAAATCTTAAGGCAAATCTTAATGTGTTTGTTTTTTAAAATCTCATCCTGGTATTGCATCATATATGATTGAAGTAAGGGTAGAATATTAGTTCTGTGCAGGCTGTGACTAATTGCTTAGGGTAAACTATTGAAACTTATAAAATCTGCAACAAAATCTGGAAAAATAAGTTGTAATGAATAGCTTTTAAATACTGAAGTACTTCTGTTACTGAATTTGAAACAGGTGGAGTTGTTGGTGTGGTTTAGTTGGGTCTGATGGTACCAGAGCACAAGCTGATGTGTGAAGGAGTTTGTTGTTTCATCAGAAGTGGAATTAATGATCAGGTCTGAGTGTTTAATTTGTGCAGGTCGTTGTAGAATTGTTTCTGTCCCAAAAGTCGTCAGGGGTTCTCTCTTTATAGTGGTAGCTGAATGTGCATGTGGAAAAAAGCCTCCAGGTGCTGTAGGCACGTTTCTGCTCCCTTTAGCTGCTCAGAGAGGAGAGGTGAAGGCAGCTGGGTGTTCCTGCAGGAAGGGAGGGAGGGCAGAGCCAGGGCACTGCTGCCAAGATGCTCTGAGAGCAATCACAGCAGGAAAGCTTTGGCAGCTTGTGGGGCTCAGGGTGGTGTCCCTGGACACCCACCGCACGTGACGTACCAGAAGAAAGGCCCTTGATGCACTTCTGGCACAAGAACTGGTCTTTCTTAGGATTCCTTGAGTTCTGTTCCTTGGGAATAAATCTCTGAGAGCTTTTCTATGCCTTGTTCCATTCCTGCAATGAAATAATGCCCATCAGAAATGTGGCAGAGTCACTGCCTGCTTCGGTCACTCTGCTCCAGTGCCAAGTTTGTGGTTAACTGGATGATGTATTGGGAAGTGCAGTAGGGAGGGTTTGGGATATGGTAATGCTTGGGAGTTTTCTGAAGAAAAATCACACTGGTTGGCTGTATGTAACAATGCAAAATAAGTAATGGGTGAAACATTTTCTAGAGAAGAAATTACATGCGGTCTGAAATTCCAGTGAACAGTTATTCTTTATTTGCAAGCTGATTTGTAATGCAAAAAGTGGAT